CCCCGCTCTCTGGGGCGGGAATCGCCCCATTTCGCCCCCAAGCCAACCCTAATTCAGTCTTACCCCCCGCATCGGTCGCGAACGGTTGTCTCCGGGCAGCCGTCTCGTTATATCGACTTTTCAATGAAGAAGCCTAAGCCCGGGACCGGTATCAAAAGTTCTGTATTTTTGAGCCAAATTTTGAGCTCTCAATATGATTTTCTCCATTTTTTTGTGTTTTTTTTGGATTGCTTGTCTGTTTGATCTACGAAGATCGGAAAAACTCGAAAAAAAATTTGATCGAAAAAAACACATAAGCCCTTATGTGTTTTTTGAAATTTTCAAAACTTGGGGAATGTTTCGCGGCGTCTCGGCTCCTTTCTTGAAACACTGTAAGTTTTCAACTGAAACATATTTTATCCATACTTGCAACGGGCCGCGCCTGCCCGGGTTTTTTTCAGAATTTACGCGGCCCGGCCCGGCTCGGCCCGTCTCGGCCCGGGGTTTCAGTAAGTTTTAAATCGGAACATCTGAACTTTCGAAATTCTGAGTTTTTTAAATTCTAAAATACTGAAATTTTGAAATTCTGATTCTCATACTTTTACAATTCTAAGCAATGATGCTCAGAAATGAGCAATTTAAGGAAGAACTGAAATTCTGAAATTCTGAAAGTTGAAAATCTTAAAAACTTGAAATCTGGAATTTCAAAATTCTTGAAACTTCGAAGTCTGAAAATATGAAATTCTGAGATACTGAAACTCGAAAGTTTGTGCTGAAAATGAGTATTTCTAAAAATAAGAAATTTCAAAGTCGAAGAATCTGAAGATCTGAAATTGTGAAATTCTCAGTTTCTCAAATTCTAAAATTTTGAAAGTCTAAACACATGAAAATATGGAGTCTCAAAATTCTGGAATTTTGAAGTCATGAATCGAAAAATCTAGTGAACAAATTCTGAATCCTTACAGCGCTGAAAATCCACTTCTCCCAACAAACGTACGATATTCTGATGCAAGAAGCGGGATTCAAGCTGGAACTACGTGGATCCGTCGAGACTGATCTCTCCCTCTCTCTCTCTCTCTCTTTTAGAATATCCTCCAAATCAGTTTTCATGTGTTTTTTGTTTCGATCCACCATCTTCTTGTGTCCCCCAGCAGACATGAGCTGAATTCCGTATTCCTTCTTCCTGATTCTTTTGCTATTCCTCTGCACCGATTGAAACTTTTTCTATCAAAAATCAAAAAAAGTTCTCAAAACCAAGAAAACAATTTGAACGAAAAGCAAATTTTTTTCAGCGAAGCCCCTTTGCATCGTTTTTCGAATATTTTTTTGTTCCTTATTCCCTATCCCTTATCCCTTACAGCGCGGTCAATATATATACGACCCCCCCCCCCCTACATTTTGGGCGCACAGAGAAGGCTGGAAGAGATATCGAAAAACGGTTAACGCCATTCGATTCACAATGAAAAATAACCTCTAGAGACGAAGTTTCATAATTTTAGCGGTCAATATCTATACGACCACCTGTAAAAGGTAAAATCTCAAGTATTTTAGAGAGCAAAATTGGACTATTTTTGGTTGGAAACTGCTAAAATAGTCTTAAAACAGCATGCTTTGACAGTTTATACAATAATTGATTCCTCTATTCAAGTTTTATAAAAAATTATTTTCAGTCATTTTCGTCATTTTTCAGATTTTTGGAATAAATCTTGAATAACTTGGCTCCTGGGTAAGATTTTGAGCTGAAACTCATAGGGTATATTTCAGAAACAAGCATGACCATGTTGCAAATGTTCAAGGCTTTTTTAAGCTTTGGAAACTTAAATCTGAGCTCGAGCTTTGAGCTGAAAAAATATATCCCAACTGAAAAATTTTCAAAGCTGTCTAAAGTGTTTGAAAGATGTTCTAAGTTGTTCAAATTATCATCAAAGTAGTTATTTCGCATTGAAAATTAAGTTTCAAAAGTTAAATCAAGTTTTTTACAAAAATCAGAATCACCGAATTTCAAGGTTAATTTTTCAAATTTCAGTTCAGCTTCAATCTCAAACAACGACTCAGAATAGCATAACAACAGTTAGTACATAATGCAAACTACTGCAGAAGTAATTCCTATCATTTTCAGCTCAAAATCTTACCCATGAGCCAAGTTATTCAAGATTTATTCCAAAAATCTGAAAAATGACGAAAATGACTGAAAATAATTTTTTATAAAACTTGAATAGAGGAATCAATTTTTGTATAAACTGTCAAAGCATGCTGTTTTAAGACTATTTTAGCAGTTTCCAACCAAAAATAGTCCAATTTTGCTCTTTAAAATACTTGAGATTTTACCTTTTACAGGTGGTCGTATGGATATTGACCGCTTGCAAAAGGGCTTTTTGGATGGTACGTGTTCAGGGAAAGTGCTAAAATTATGAAACTTCGTCTCTAGAGGTTATTTTTTATTGTGAATCGAATGGCGTTAACCGTTTTTTGATATCTCTCCCAGCTTTTCCTGTGCGCCCAAAATGTAGGGGGTGGGGGTCGTATAGATATTGACCGCACTGTATTCCTTATTCATTTTAAAAATTGTATTCCTTCTTTATGAAGTTGCGTCTCTTTCTCGGTCAGTTTGTCCACACATTTTTGAAAAGTTTGAAAATTAAATATGATTTCACAACCAATACGTCCGAAGTGACCCTTCTCAAAACTGACCATTTATCAAATATGATAACTCTCGAATTCTAAAAACATATGTCTCATTATAACCACATGTTATTGCTTGACCCATCTCCAGAAAACTGAAAACAGATGCTTTGCCTCTTTCGCTCCTCGTAAATGGAGGCGGAGTGTATGTCTTCTTCTATTCTCCCCTTAGCTCCGCCCCTTTTCTTTCTTCATTCTCCCCGTTTGCCTGCTTTGGAATTGACACTAATGGGTGTAAGATGAGCAAGAATCTGCCCTTATCCCTATTTCTGATTCTGGTCTCGTTAATTCGATCCGCTGAATTTTTAAAGTAGGTTTCAATTTAGCAATATTCTAGTTGGATTTTTTATCTTAAAACCCCTTTAAAAATGGTAAAAATAGGTTTGAAAAGGTTTTGAACATTTCCTAAAATATGTAAAAAATCAAACCCCGTATTTTAGGCTTACTTTAATTGTTAAATGTTCCAATAGAGCTCGATTTGCAAGAATTGGAATTCAATTTTTTTTTGGAACTTTTTGAATCTTACTCTATCGTTAATTCTCATTTATTTTGAGCTAGTAAATTCTTCTATGGTTTTCGGGACATCAAAAAATCTTCTCCTTTCCCTTTTTGTTGTTGTTAAGAAGAAGAAGAAGACGAAGAAGAAGCCAGAGAAAACAAGAGATCTCTGATTGGCACTATTCAAAATGTATTCTTAGTCTTCTTCTTTCAAACGACAATTTAGGAAAAATCCAAACGGATGAACTCTCAAATAAATCTGATGGAAAATCAGAAATGAATTCATATTTACTCAACGGATTTCAGGAGAATTTTGGGGAAAAAAAGTAACATTTGTTCTGAAAATAAGGAATTTAAGAATTCTGAGGGAACTGAAAATTCCAAGTTTGGAGATTTTCTTATAGTTTGTCTTTGGAGTCAGAATTCGCAATACTTCTTTATTTTGGTTTGGCGGGAATTCAAATTTTTTCAGAAAATTAAAATTCGGAGATTTAGAGATTTTGTGATTTTGGGATTTTTAAGTTTTGAGGATCTGGGATTTTGGAATTTTAGGATTCTAAATTCCTGAGTTTCTCAAATACTGAAATTCTGAAAATCTGAAAATTTGAAATTTGGACGTTCGCAAATTCCGAAAATTTGAAATTCTGAAATTCTGAAATTCGTTGATTCCGGAAAATCAAAAATTCGGAATTTCTGGAATCCTGAGATTTCCATTTTTTGAAATTCTGAATTTCTGAAATTCTGAAGTTTTGAAATTTCGAGATTCTGAAATTCTGAAATTTCTTTAAATCTTAAGATTTTTGATTTCTAGAGGTTCTGAAATGCTGAAATTCAAAAAGTCTGAAAATTGGAAAACCTGAAATTCTGAAATTTTGAGATTCTAGAATTCTGAAAACCTGGAATTCTGGCTTTTAAATTTTAAATTAAAGTTGCGATCGGTTTTTTTACTCCGTTTATTGAATATTCTAGATTGGAGTCTTTCAATTAATTTTATAAATTTTTCTTAATTTAGAAATTTTTTAAACTCTTTTAAAATGGAAATTTTGAAGACATCCAATAAATCACTTGGTTGCTCTAACAATCTTATTTTTTCAATTTCCAGTAGTTTCCAAAACATTTTTTGATCATTTTCTCGATTCCGTTATTTGTTTAATTAGGATTATTAAATTCTTTTAGACTTTTTAGATTTTCTGAATTTTCAACTATTTCCAATAAACCACTTTTTTCGATATAACCATCTGAAAATCCTTTTCGACTCCAACTTTTATTTTTAGGTTTTCCAGTAAGAATTACTTCTCCTTCTTCTTCTCCTCCGCTTCCTTCCATTCAAATCCTTGCTCCGAGTAACAAAAGAAAGAGATTTTCGGAAAAAAAATAGTAGAATTTTTTTTCGGGGGTTGTGAAAGCAACTCCCTCAGGTACACAATGAGATGGCACCTAATCAAATTTAGTATACGACTAAAAGCATTTTCGAAAAAAAAAGAAGAAGAGATTCAAATTTCGAATAAAGTATAGGGTAGAGAGATAGAAATCCCGTAAAGAAATCCCATTGACGACCACAAGATGCTCAAAAAAAAATGAAGAAGAAGGAGAAGAAGATTGGTCTGGTGGGAGTTTCGAAATTTAAATATATTGAATTTTTTATTTGGGGAGACCGAATAGATTGTGTAAATGATAAGAGAATCGTTCAACATTGGAGCGCATTTTCCTAATTTATCTCGCTTCTTGTACGAGATATCAAAAATTATTAACTAACCAAATGTTTGTTTTCAAGTTTTACAAATTTTATTAGTTGACAACTTTTTGGTTTCTTTCCTAGGTACCTAGATATTTAGAGTTAAAGTGAAAAAGTGGACCTCAAGTACCGTATTTTCCATACAGTGCATGTAATAAGGATAGGACCCTCTTTGATTTTGACCTTTCAGAAAAAAGTAAGAGAGATATCAAAATTCTGTGAACGCCATTCGATTCAAAATAAAAAACAACCCCAGAAGCCAAATTTTCATAACTCTAGCACTTTCCGTACCGGTCCACCGTCCAAAATTTTTTAAAGTCATTTTTTAGGCCGTGTAATAAGGATAGGACCATCTAGCATTTTTGAAGCGATACCCATTTTTTCGACATTTTTTCCCATTTTTGCGACCGGGCCTTTGCCGGGCCTTCGCGGGATCTGTCATAGTTTCTTTTCTAATCAATATTTGAAGACCAACTGAACTAGATATGATAGAACTTGACAAGTGCTACAAAATAATATTATTTGGAGAGCTTTGTTTTGTCTATGAACAAAGTTACAGACAAAAAACAGAGACCCGACCTGGGACGACGCGACAAGACCCGGCCACTGCATGACTTGTAACTTTGTTCATAGACAAGATACAGTACTACAAATAACATCATTTTGTAGCACTCATCAAATTCTATCATATCTAATTTAATTGGTCTTCAAATATTGATCAGAAAAGAAACTATGGCAGATCCCGCGAAGGCCCGGCAAAGGCCCGGTCGCAAGTAAGGTATTGTCTCTAATTGCTGCTCTCACGAAGTCAACTTTGAGCTAGATTATCTCGACTCCAGTAAAAGATATCAAAAAGTTGTCAACTGACAAAATGTTTGTTTTCAAGTTTTATACATTTTATTAGTTAACAACTTTTTTGTATATTTTTTTTTAAATATAGATAATTATGTCCAAAGTACTGTACCGCTAAAAAAATGAAAAGAGAGTGCTCCGGTTTTTAACCATAATTATCTCTCTTTTGGATAGAGTTATCAAACATTTGTTAACAAACAAAATGCTTGTTTTAAAATTTTACAAATTTTGTTAGTTGACCACTTTTTGATATCTTTTACAGAAAATGAGATACATAGGCTCGAATTTGACTGTTTGAGGAGCATTCTATTAGAATACGGTAATTGGGGTCAAGACAAGGATACCGCTCCTGTGGCCTACAAAACGCGGGAAAATAAATTTTTTAATCGGTTGTTGTAAGATTCTGAAATGCCTTTTAATTCCAACAAATTCTAATAATAATCTGAATTCGGACACCCTACAACCTGTAGTGGAAGAACCCAACTCAGCCCTAGCCATAAACATTTTATTAGATGACCACTTTTTGGTATCTCTCACAGAAACCCAGATAAACTGGCTCAAAGTTAACAATGAGTGCTCTTTTATTCTTTCCCCAAAACCTTTTTACGTTTGCTCACACCCCATCTATTATCCTATCCAGTTCTTCCAAAATTTGAAATCCAATACTCTTTATTTCTGGGTCCTTCTCTTCAGATTTCCAAAACTTTTTTCTTATTTTCTTCTCCAGAAAAAGAAGAAGAAGGAGAAGAAGTAGGAGAAGACGAAGAAATAGAATGTGTTGATTTTCATAAACAACTTTGAAGAATGTTTATGAAATGTTTGGTCCAAGACACTACTAATAGAATAGTAATCGTTTCCGGGGGAAATGAAAAGTGAAAGTGAATATTGAGTAATAAAGGAAACTGAGCTCTGATGATAATGATTTGGGAGACAGGCAAGGCTTTGAAAAGCGTTTTCTTTAATTTGAAATTCTGAAATTCTTCCCCTGAAAGTTTGAAAATCTCAAATTCTGAGTTTGTGAAATCCAAATTTTCAAATATTCTTAAATTCTGAATTTCCGAAAATCTGGAATTTACGAATTATGAGATTCTGAAAATCTGAAACTCAGAAATTCTGCTAAATTCATAAATTCCAAAATTCCAAATTTTTGAAATTCCGGAACCCTGAGATAACAACATTTTGAAATTCTGAAATCCCGAAATCTTGAAATTTCAATGTTCAAAAATTCTGAAAATTCAAAAAAAAATTGAAATCCTGAAATTCTAAAACTCTGAAATTCTGAATTTTTGAAATTTTGAAATTCGAAAATTTTGAATTCTGAATCTATGAAATTCTGAAAATTCAGAAAATCAAAAATTCAAAAATTCGGAAATTCTGAAATTTTGAAATTCTGAAATGAAAGTCCGTGTATCCGGAATTTTGAGTTATTGAAATTTAGAAACTAAAAAGTTCAGAATTTCGGAAATCCAGAAAACCAGAAAATTCGAAAATTCGAAAGTGCAACATTTGAAATATTCAAAATTTCAAAATTTCTGAATTTCTGAAATTCTATAAAACTGAAAATTTTAAACTCTGGAATTAAGAAATTTTCAGGTTCTGAAGTGCTGAAAATCTGGAAAAAAAATATATCGAAATATTCAAAAGTTCCGAATTTCTAAATTCTGAAGTTTCTAATTTTTAAAATCATGGAATTCTGATTCTGAATATCTAAAATTTCGAATTTCAAAAATTAAAAATTTTGAAAATCTAACAAGTCTAATTCCAGAAACCGTTAGCAATACTGATGGAATTTGAAAAACCTTAAAAACAAAAAACAAGAAGCTTGAGAATCTGAAAATCCAAAATTTTGAAATTTTATCACTGGAGCACATTTTCAGATGCTACTCCTGTGCTTCCTTCGAATATCGGGTCCTGTTCGACAAGGATGCTTCGCTATCCCGGAAAGTCAGGTATTTCAATTTTTTTGAAAATTTCATACCTTAAAATCTGTAATAGAGGTGCTCCACCCTTACAAGTATCAGCCAATTTATCTGCATTGCTGTCAGAGATATCAAAAATGTGTAAACTGATAATATATTTTTATATTCTGATAAGCAATTTATCAGTTGACAATTCAAAAAAATATTTGACAGGAACCAAGATAAATTGCATCAAAGTCAAAAGTTAAAAGGCCCTTCTATTACAGGTTTTACGGTAATTCAACATTTCTTCAAATTTCAGAGTACCAAAATTCGATCGTTTGTGTGATTTGGAAGAGATGGTTCAGGGATTTGCACCAGTCGAAAATTGCCATTCCACGTGTGTCACAATTTTCGAGCCACAATATTTTGGAGGTGGGTTGTCGCCCAAAGTGCGCTCTATTGAGAAATCTGAAATTGTTAAATTTCGGAATTCCGGAATTCGAAAGTCTAAAAATCTGAAATTCAGAAATTTCGGAATTCTGGAATTCTGAAAGTTTCAAATTCTGAACTACGGATATTTTTAAAAAGCAACTTTGCTCTATTGACAGGTCTTCAATCTCTGCAACGCCCATTCCTGTACATTCGTGGATGCGCGGATCACATATTCTCCGAAATGAAGGACCGCCCAATCGAAGTGGAATTTCTCCATAGATCACCGATTTGTGTGAAATTGCAGCTATCACAAATCTATCCACAAGTTCAAGCAAACGAAATAGTGCAAGTGTGCTCCTGTGACAAAGACGGATGTAATTTCGACTCGATCAACGATTCGACCACTTCGAAAATGAACTCAGCCTTTATTGTTAGTGTTTTTATCATTGGTTTTCATTTATACTTGTTTTAAGTTTCAATTCAAATTAATAAACTTCTTATTTCCCAATTTATCAAAAGAGCGAACATGCAATTTTTTTGTCGAAAGTTTGTTTCGAAAATTCGAAAAAAACTGCGAATTTTGTCAAAAATTTTATTGAAAATTCGATTTTTTTTTGAAATTTGTTTTTTTTTTTGAATATAGGCTCAAAGAATACGGTAGTTTGCTTTTGGCCCTAAAGAGAATTCTATAATTTAGGATTTTTTGGAATTTTTTCCATTTTTGAAATTTTGAAATTTAGGAATGGAAATTTAGTATTCGGAATTTTTGGAGTTATCGAAAAATTGAAGTTCTCGAATTTTTTGAAAGTTTAGGATATCGGAATTTTTAGAATTTTCGGACTTTTCGGATTCCTAGAATTTCGGTTTTTTGAATTTTTTGAATTTTGGAAATTTTTGGAATTTTCGGTTTCTTGGTTTTTTGGGATTCTGGAAATTTAGAATTTTGGAATTTTCGGATTTTTGGAATTTTAGAATTCTGAAAAGTTTGAACTTTCGGGTTTTTCGAAAACTTTGAAATTTCAGGATTTTTTCGGAATTTCAGATTTTTTTGGGTTTTTGGAATTCTGGAAATTTCCCATTTTTGAAAAAGTTGAAATTTTTTTAGGGAAATTTAGGAATTTGGGATTTTGGGATTTTAGAAATTTCGGATTTTCAGAGTTTTAGAATTTTAGAATCTTCGGAATTTTGAAGATTTTGGATTTTCGGAATTTTCGGGGGTTTAATCATTTTGAAAAATGGGATTTTTGAATTTTTCGGATTTTTCTAAGATTTGGAAAATTTTGAAACATCCAAAAAAAATTTTCAGTTTTTAAACATTCGATTTTTTCTCTTAAAAAAACCGAAAAATGCAATCTTTGCACTAGAACAATCTCCCCGGAAGGAATTTTAATTATGCAATGACCCTTGAAATTTCGCAAATTTCTAATTCCAATAAAAAACAACAGGAAATTGCATAATGAGAAATTGGAGACGTCCGCCGGCGGAGTCAAAACAAGACACGATGATGTGACAGCTGTATTCAGATGAAGACGACGCCCTTGTCCCCGATAATTTCACTTCTTTATCTGTTCTTCTGCTGTTACTGGACACCTTCTTCTCCCTCTTCTTTCGGGAAGAAGAGAAAGAGAGAGGGAATCTCCGCTTTTCGACCTGCTGACCCGACTCCGCCCACTCTGGGAGATTTACGAAACTGTAGAGAAGTGAAAGAGAGAAGCAGAGAGGAATGTGTGTGTGTTTCGCCGGCGGACGAATACTATTTTTTGGGATTGTAGAGGGAAGAAGTGGGGGGGGGGGGGGGGGTAATTGGCCTGATTGCACTCTTATCTCATTCCATTTCGCTCTCCTTTTCATATTTCCTCCTGTTTTTTTTCTCCGTTTCGACGACCTTTACCTGTGTGGATGAACAACACTTTTTTGTAGAAGACAAGATTCGCGGATTTTAAACTATCTTGACATTGATTTCAAGGATTTCTTTGATTTATTAATGCGACGACGATGAATTGGTTGTTGTATTGTTTGTTTTTTGTTGGAAATTGTTTGACTTTTCAAATTTTTGCTTCCGAAGTTTTTTAGCTTAAAAATTCGAAAAATTCTAAATTAGAGCCGCTTTTATGTGTTCTAAACTGAAATTTCCCGGATTTTCTCTGAAAATTCGCCGGAAATACCAACTTTCTGAGCGGTTTGAATAACTTTAACTTCACAAAAAGAATAAAAAAGCCATCTGAAAAGCTTCAAAAAATTCCAACTCTTCCATTTAAAGGAGCATGCTCTTTTGGCGCTGGGTCTCGCCACGAATTTAAGCTTTGAGAACCTTTATCATTTTTTTCTCGCTTGAAATCCGAAAATTTAATTAGATTTCTGTATTATAAAAAATTGTTTTTTATTTTTTTTTACATTTTCTATATTCCGTAATTAGTTGCAAAGTTTAATTTGCTTGGATTCCTCACTTTTTTCGAAAAAATTCCAGCCGAAAACTTTTCTACAGTACCCTCGCCCGCGAATTTTTGATTTTCAAATTAAAAAGCCCGCGCAAAAGAGTTCTTCCCAGTTTTTTCATGTCATTCGTCTCGAGTTTTCTACTTTTCCGTTCTCCGTTGCTGCCCAATTTTTATCCGTTTCTTTTTTAGATTTTTTCATCGAATTTCAAACTGAATAAATCCGTTTTTTCACCTTTTTCCCCATATTAAGCTTCATTAAACCCTATTTTTTCAGGAGTTCGAGTACACCATCCGCTCGCTCCATTGGTCATTCTTTCCTCGACCATCAGAAGGAACAGAATGAGGTGGATGCTCATTCACGCATTCGTCGTGCTTGCCCACCTCCTCACATCAACATTTGCCGATGTCACTTGTCCACGAACCCCAGAAAAATGTACTTGTAAAGTGAGTGTGTCAAAAGCTTTACAATTTGAAATTTCCAATTTTTTAGGTCTCAAAAAATCTGATAGTGCTGGAGTGTGACGGAGTCGATGTTCGATCGATAGCTCAGAGTATCGGAACGAATCGAATCGACGAGTTGCACATTTCCAACGGAAAGGATGTGAAGATCGACGCGTTGCCGTTCACCGGTCTTCGTACCATCGCCATCGTCAACTCGACGCTTGAGTCGTTTGCGCCAACGGTACTGAATTGAAGCAATTCGTGTGTCTTGAAGCAAAGTTGCCTAGAAAAACCAGCTAGAACTTCTTGATTCTCGATGGATTTAACGCATGACGAATGCATTTTTACGTCGTCTGGTTTTCCGTTCGCTGTACGAAAATTCTTTTTTTTGACCGAGACGAGAGATGATTCGCATCACTTAGAATCGGTTTTGAAGATTGCGACCACGGATAGCTCTTGACCTGAGCGCTGAGGCATTGTTGACGTTTGGGCGCGAAATAAAGAGACAGGCGCGAAGTTGTAAAAGTTCATCTAAATCGTTTTTATTAGCCAAGGGTGGTCTTGCAGAATTGTACTTCCGTCTTGACGTGTGACGCGTAGCGGGACCATCCGGGCGTCTTCAAAAATGGCTGGCAACAATAAAAATATTGTAGGGACCAAACAGCTCTTCGGGCTAGTCCGTTTCCTTCCAAATAAAAAAAAGAAATTGTTCAGAAGTTATAAGAAAATAAGGCAGATGTGTGCCAGCCTAGCTTGTCCTCGAGATGTTTAATCACCAAATAGCATTTCCACTTCCCCATAAAATCCTCAAAAAATGACTCATAACGAATTGATACTATCCAGCAGATTCTCTTCCTCTCTTTTCTCCCTCTAACCTCTCTGTTCCCAGCTATATAGTCATTGAGGCTTTAGCCATGTTGCGGCGCGGCAACACACGACGACAATGCGAAAGTGAAAAGTGGGTCATGGCGTAGAAAGTCGCGAGGGATAGCTGACCGCGTCGCGGTGAGAGTGCGGTACATGGCCGGTCATTAGATTCGGGTTACACTCCGAAATGACTGATGTAAAGGGCAGGCAGTAAAAACGATTGCAAAGGGAAAACTAGCTTGTAAACGTTGTGTTGTTATAGGCATGGAGACACGTGGAATCCACCATCGAGCACATCACAATCACCGGGAATCGACTGAAGACGGTACCGGCGTTCGGGAACTTGACGACTCTGATGTCGTTGAATCTGAACAGTAATGAGGTGTGTTTGGAGGAAAGAGACATGCGGTACTTTCACTATTAGTTACCAGTTTTTACTAGTTACCTATTGTTCGAGGGAACAAGAACACCTATACAATTGGAATCGTTTTCAGATCTCATCAATTCCTGATAAGGCGCTCGGTGGTCTCTCGGCGTTGACACAATTACGGCTGGAAGACAATAAGATTTGCGACTTTCCGACGTAATCATTTTGGTGGAAGAGATTACATTGATAACGGCGGGGGATGTGATGATTTACACCAACCGTTCCCGATGACTTCTCCTTCCCTCAATCTTATCAATCCACCAAATATTTGATTTTAGGAAATCTCTCGACGGGGTCAAACAATCGTTGGTGCTGCTCGATGTTAGTGGAAATTGCCTCTCGACGATCCCCGCACAGATTCTTCGCAATGCAGCCAACTTGATGTATCTGGATCTCGGAAGCAATAATATCAGCGAAATTAACAATTTCGAGCTCATGAACTTGCCGTTTTTGAGAGAGCTCCGTGTGCAAAACAACTCACTTCGGCGGATTCACCCGATGGCGTTTATGAATGTGCCACAGTTGCAGTACCTGTACCTTCAGGATAACATCATCTCGACACTTGATGGAAATCGCTTACAAGCGTTCAAAAATCTCGAGGTTCTTGATGTGAGCAACAACGCGCTTTATGCGCTCCCATCACTCAAAGATCTTCCAAACTTGAAACAAGTTCGAGTTGATGGAAATTTGATCTCGAAAATCGACACGTTGGCATTCTCAAACAACCCGAAGCTGCAGCTCATCAGTATCCAAAATAACAACATCGTTCAAATTTCTCGCAATTCCTTTGAATCGCTGGATAAGCTCGTAGTGCTTTTGGTTGGAAACAATAGTCTCGCGAAGATTGGTAAGGAGCTCTAGAAAGCCTGTTTTTCTTAATTTTTGAATTTTCAGAACGTGGAATGTTCGACGGCATGAAGAACCTCCAGCAGTTGAGCATTCGGAACAACACTCTCACCTCACTCGATGCCTCCTCGTTCGCTCAACTTCCCCATATGACAACGCTGGATTTGGGATACAACAAGATTCAGAAAATCGAGGAAGGAACGTTTGACAAGCTCGTGAAGCTGTTCTGGCTGGATTTATCCAACAACGAGATCTCTGGATTCCAGACGAATGTGTTCAAAAAGAAGATCTCGAATATTCTACTCGACGGTAACAAATTGATTTGTGATGAATCGATCAATGAGTTCCTGACCTACCTCGTTGCCAACAAGGTTCGCACGTTCTTGCCGTTCCAACAAGAGATCACTTGCCATGGACCGGAGAAGTATGCAGGCGTTCGACTGAAGGATTTGATGATGAAGAAGGCGAATGAGACGATTAGTGAGGGAACAAGACTGATGGGTATTCCACAGGCGAACAACAATCACAATCTGCTCTCTTCATTCCTCCCGTCACTGGGTCCACTTGGAAACATGAATGCGGCGAATGTTCCTCTTGTCAATACTCTTACTAATGTAAGTTTGGGATTTTCAAAGATTCCTAATTAATAATTTGATTTTCTTTAGACGATCCCTGCGCTTCGCTCAATCCCTGGATTCGGTGGTGCTGCTCCAACTGGGACCGGTGCCGCTTCAGTACCAAACAAACATCTGAACGATGCCATCGAAGACTTCACCGGACCACTTGTCAGATTCGCCACTGGTGGACAACCGGTTGCCAGTGACATCGAACAGCTGATTCGCTCGATACCGAATATGGTTGTCAACGTTCCAGGATTCGGAGATGTCGATTTGAGTAAAATGGACCCCACAATGATTCAGTACGTGTTAAACGGTGGTCAAATTCCTGGAATCGACAAGGCGACTCTTGAATCGATTGTGAAGCAGGCAATGAAGAAGATGCACACTGCAGCCGCTGCGAATCTCGCTGGGAATCCAATCGATGGGCAAGACAAGGTTCTTCCACCTCTCGAGAAGCTTCCATCGGAGTTAGTGACGCAAGTGATGTCAGGAGAACCGCTTCCAGGTCTTGACAAAGATCAGACGAAGACTATCATGGAGTACTATACTCATCAAATGCCTGGAATGGATGGCATCCCAGCTCGCCCCATTCAAAATCAAGGGAATGCCTCGACGAGCATGTTCAATCCAGCGATGTTCGATTTGCTCAAGATGCTTCCACCTGGATACAACTTGAGCAAGATTCCGATGGAAGTGATCACTGCAGTGACACGTGGCGAGGTGCCTGACATGCGTCTACTTCCTCAAGATCTTTTGGAGCATTTCAAACAGCACACCTCTTCGCTGACTTCGATGTTTGCTGGAGCAACGGCTAAGAACATTTCGATCGAAGAGATTCTTGAGAAGCTTCCAGTCTTTGTGCGGCCAGAACTATCAACGTTCGTGCCCTACGATATCAATGAGCTGACAAGTGAGATGGTTCTGGAGCAAGAGCAAAACGAGAGACATCGTCACATTCGAATGATCACTGCAATCGCGTTGGCTTTCGTGGGTGCCGTTACTGTATGCGTCTTGATATTCTTCGTCAACTATACCAAGAAACAGAGGAGAGCGAGGAAGAGGTAATTCCTTTTTTGTGTAGCTGACTTGCATCAAAAATTTTCAGTTTCCTCCGCTCATCACCTACCTCATCCGGTCCAAGTGCCGCCAACAACTCGCACCACTCATCGGCAGCACCTTCTCCAATCCGGCCTCCGATGATGTCTATCCCGAAGACGCCTATCAATAGGACTCTGGAGAGCACCTTCGGCCAGCCCCAGCTCTGCTCCACGCTCATCGACACACCACAAGTGAATAGGAGTCGTCCATAAGGAGCTCATAATCTGTTAAATACTCTGTAAATGATTATTCCTCTCTCTCTCTCACCCACCTCCCTCCACTCCAAGGTATTTTGTCTTTCTCTAGGTGAATCCTCCATTTTTTGACGGGTTACATTACGAAGTAAAACCGGTAGTTTTAGGACTATGTACTGTAGTAACATTAGGCATTTTCCCCCCGATTGCTCATGTGTTGATTGCCTTCCTCTTCTCTTCATCCCACTCACATCCCCGCTTCCCATCCGCTTTTCGTGTTCTATGAGAATTTTAACTTTGGCTTGTTCTCTTTTGTACTAATTTATTGCATTCATATTTATTTTTCCAATTTTCTTATCTTGTTTGTGTCCCCCGCCCTCGTCAATTCTCTATGAATAAAATTCAACGGGGCTGTTCTCTTTTTCTCGAAAATTCTTGGGGTTCGGTGGGATGCATTGCCTCAATCATATTTTAAACAGCACTTCTAATTCATCAATTTTCCTTCTCAATTTGTCTTTCTTCGTGGAGCAGTGCAGTCAAGCACTTCCGGATTTCACTCTCATTTCTTTTCATGAAAAAGAGCGATTTTTCGCTAGCTTTTAACCCAAAAATTCAAAATTTCTTCCATTTTTTCTCTTTGCCACGTGTCGTTGTTTCAGCTGCTGAAGATGCACACAAATTCCGAGAAAAGCATTTCTCTAGAAAAGTGGGCGAAGCCTAAATTGCAAGGTTTTACTCATAGGCTCCGCCCATTATTCCCGGGAATTTCTCCTATTTTTTCGCTATATTTCAAACCAATTTCAAAAAACTCAAAGCAGAAATTCAAATTTTCAGTTATCTTCCCACTGCCACGTGTCTTTTTTGAGCTTTAAAAAATGAGCGGTGCACACAGTGACTACCCTGAAGTCGTTTTCAATGCCGAGCAGCGAGCGTTCGTTTATATGGAAATAATAATAAATCAGAATCCGACGACAGTGCGGCTGCATCCACTTCAAAACGAAATCGTCGCCGATTTTCGACACTTGTTTACCAAAATCGATGTACAATTGATCACGAAAATCGACTATATCCAAATGAGAGCGACACCGGGATGTCTAGAGTTTATCAGAAAATATGAGCCGAAAATTCCCGATGGTCTTTGTATGGCTTTTCTGAGGCATGACGCTTCAAAGTCCGTCTCCAGCGACAACATATTCAACGCTCCTAGGGTAGGATTTTTCGACTTTTTCTTGTTTTCGGAGTCAATTTTTTTTCAATTTCAGGTCTTCGAAATGGCAGTTGAAATGGTTCGAAATGTAGAAGGTGTGAATGAGCGGAATCAAGAGGCATACACCTCTCATCACTTGGAAATACAAGCAACGACGAAGATGATATTCTAATAAATTGTTAATTTGGCAATTTATCATATTTTTACATATTCTGTAATCTCTTGATTATTCTTGTGTCATATTCTCATATTTACTGTAATTCATAGATGCTTTTGTATTATTTTTTAATAAATTCCAACTACCTTTTTCTCCATTTTCTTTGCAAACTGCGTTTTACATCTCTTCGCAATGTTTCCTTTAAAAATTGCTTTGTTTGCGATACGTCGCGATACTTGAATCCCCGAATATTACAACACCTAAAATTTCAGAATGACTAGACGCCGTCGCGATCAATTCCATCAACAAAAACTCGATCAACAGAAGAACGCGATCAGAGACTTCGCCAACGCCTCCGAGGATATTGTCAACGCTGGGAATCATGCGAAAACGTACTTGAGGATTATAACAAGCGGCGATCCCACCGCGTTTCCATTGCACAAAGAGCAAGCCCAGATCGTCGCCGCATTCAAAGAAGCGTTCCCAAATCAAAATATCGAAGTGATGACGAAAGAAGAGTTAGAGGCGATGGCTGCGTCTCCGAAGTTTGCCGAATTCAAAGATAAGTTCAAGGATATGATCCCTGAGTACAAACGCGCCACGTTTGTACGCTTGCGAGCTGATGAAGCATACGGGACTCGCAATTCTATATTGGTTCCAAGAGTAGGGTTATCGTAGTTGTTAGATTTCGCATAATGTGCTTATTTTTAGCTGCTCTTCATGGGAATCGAGATGCGACGAAACACGGAGGGTGTGAACAGGAGACTTCAAGCCCAAATAATTGCTAATAATGCAACGGTTCGGCAGGAATAGCTTAATATCTATAATTTCCAATTTTTCATGTAATCTCTTGGTTATTCTTGTGTCATCTTCTTATATGTATGTAATTAATCGATTGACTAATGTTGTCTCTTTGCTTGTTCTTTTCTGCGTTGTAAAAGTTATTAAATGTACATTACACATTTTTAATGATAAAAAGTCGCAGAAGGTTTTATTTTAGGTTGATTTAAGAAAGCAACAACACAATCAGTTCTTCGAAAGGGGCAGAGCTTATAGGAAAGATGAAATAAGTTAAAAGGTGGTGGGGCGGAGCTGCTCGGGAAGCTATAAATTATTCACAGAAAAAAAAATAAATTGAAAAATAGAAAAAAATTATTCACACAGACGAAAAATTGATAGATTTTGAAAAAGAGAACAAATTATTCCAATGAGATTATGGCCAGCTCACACGCTATTTCAAAGGACCTGGTACTCAGGGAAATCGTTTCACGTCTAATTAGCTCTCATTAGAAAAACCTCGGCTAATTAGGTGGTTTGCACATCTAACTAGGAATGCCATATCTAAATAGATTGTAGTAGCAAAATTATAAAATAATCACATATAATATGGATCTAGTTAGATCCGGTACGGCCAGTCGATATTTGCGAATCTAGATAGATTTGTTTTTTTCTAATCCGCGAATGAGCGAACCTAATTAGAAACTAGCTAGATTCGGCTAGTTCAAATTTATTTATTTTTGTTTTCATTGTTTTTTCGTAGTTTGCTCGTATTTTTACAGTTTTTGAAGTAAATTTTCTGGTCCTAAATTTCTCGGAAACGAGTCCATTGTTTATTGACATGGGTCCGCCCACAAAATGTATTTTTTCATGTTTAATGTCGTTATCTAAACCGAATTCAGAAATTTTGATGAAAATGAGATTGTAAGCTGATCTGGATTCCGTTTCTACCAAAAACTTCAATTCGATCGCACAAATCGCCCGAACTGTTCGAAAATTCGGGAAAAGTTAATATCTTCTTCGACGAAAATTTGTTGAATATGATGGCGTTCACACAGAAGATACAAACACTGGAGGTAATTGTTCTAGAAACATGCCAAATGAATGTTACCATTTTCAGGGTCTTTATGGAGATCTTTGGAACGAGAAAAACTGAAACGAACATAAATACGTTCTATTGTTGGCCACTCAATCCAAAATGATATCAACAGTTATTTCAATCGCCACTCAAAAATGGAAGTGCTCCGAAATCACAAGCTGCGCCAATAACAGTATTTTGATAAGTTAATCAGCTAAATGACCCACTCTTTAAATGACACAATTAAAAAATTTGAGTTTCCAAATATTCAACGTCTACGATCAGAAAAATTCGACGAATATTTGGGATTCGGAGCTGTCTGGAGCGAAGATATCGACTTGTCATAGCGACATTTGGAAGGATTTCTATAATTCAAAAAACTACCAGCAAAGACATGACGACCGCGAGTTGTTCCTCGTTTCGGTGACGGAAATCCAAAAGGTTCTGGGAGGAGTGTGTTGGGGTGATGGTGCATTCCTAGTTCATGACTTAATTTTTTCTAGATCATGACCAGGGATGTGATTTTACGTTTACGAATTTTACGAATTTTACGGATTTTTAGATTTTTTGGTACTCGTAAAATTTTACGAGTGTCGTAAAATTAATCCGTAAAATTCGTAAAAACTGGAAGAGTGTTTTTTTTCAGAGTTTTTGTTAAGAATTGGCAGTTTTTAGATCCATGATCAAGTTTTTGATTTAATTTTAAGTAGATCGTATTCAAAAAATTCGAATCAGAAATTTTCTTTGTTTTCAAAAAATATTTTCCAATTTTTGAATGTCTTTTCCCCAGTTTAGAATTTTTCAGAAAAAAAATTCCAGAAAATTGTTAACACCTACAAAAACATTAAATTCTGCGGTTTGAAATAATTGCACACCATTTCTGAAATGCTTAATGATGAAAATGCAGTTTTTCTTTCATTTGAATAGAAGATTCAGTTTTTTACGGATTTTACGGATTTTACGATTTTACGAGTTTTTAATTCGTAAAATTTTACGTTTTACGAAATTCGTAAAATAAAAATTTTACGCACATCCCTGATCATGACCCAATTTTTTCTAGATCATGACCCAATTTTTTCTAGGTCATGACCTAATTTTTTCTAGATCATGACCTAATTTTTTCTAGATCATGACCCAATTTTTGCGTTTTGTGTTTTTCATCCCTGATCATGACCCAATACACCGCACATCCCTGATCATGACCCAATTTTTTCTAGATCATGACCCAATTTTTTCTAGGTCATGACCTAATTTTTTCTAGATCATGACCTAATTTTTGCGTTTTGTGTTTTTGAAAAAAGGACGAATTTGGAGAGTTTAGATATTTTCTTGGTTTTCTCGGCTGAAACTTATAAGAAGGCTGATAATGATCTTCTAGGGTGTACAATAATAATAATAATACATTTATTGATAAAGGGCCGAAGCCACTGATATAATCAATTTACAGTAAAAGGTTAATAGTTGATAAGGTTTAGAATTAAAAAGGAGGTCAGATTTACTTAAAGGGGGGGGGACAGGAGATTTTACGGGGGATTTTTGGGGCCAGAGTATGCATTCTACCGTAACGGTGTACAACGCTTAATGTCACTCTGCGTACAGCAGTCGCCCTCGCCTTTATGTATGCAATCGGGCAGCGGCTTTCTCTTTGCACGCGTAGCTCAGTCGGTAGCGGCGCCGCACCTTCAACACTCGCCTCGACAAGTTCAACTCTTCGAGGAGCATATTTAAACGAAATTTCGACAACATTATTTTTCTCATTTCCCCCCACCTTTAATGAGTAAAGTTTTGAACGATCTAAAAACCGCGAGCTCCGGGGGATCAGGAAAAAGTCGGAACTAACATTTTTCTGTATTAAAATCCATACTTGCAAAATCTCGGGCCGGCCCGCGGGTCGGCCCGGGGCATTTACAGACGTTGATTTTTTTGATTTTTTTTTTCAAAATTTTGAACAAAAACGACCGATTTTTTGACTATTTTCTACTTTGTAACGTTGGTTAATAATGTACCCTTTTCTCTTTTTAATTCAAAAAAAAATTACCCAATTTTTCAATGGAAATTTTTCAACTGTGGTAGGCGGGCCTTTGCGACTATGTTCAAATCTTTTTTACCCATTCAAAAACATGGATAACTTTTGAAAAGAAGGATTTCTTCACCGGTTTTGTCGCAGTGCGTATTCAAAATTCACGAGCCTCACAAGTTTGCTTAACTACAAAAGCCATTAGTTCTCATTGTATGTATCTGAAAATTTCAGAAAATATAAAACAAAAACAGTTCTTCCTTTTTGTATTTGAAAACTTTTTTGTAAATTTTGGTCCTGAGGAGATATCCCATGTGGAAGTGGCGGCGCCGCAGTTTATAGGTGCCTCCACTTACACTTGGCATATCTGCTTTGTATGAAATTGCTAGCTAGATTTTTAGACTCCTCAAAGTTCATTGTGAAAAAAATTAGTCTTCACAACTTCTTTGAAAATTTAAGATTCTCTAATATTGCATTTTGAATGCTGATCTAGAATTTCAAATTTGGATTTTTTGAAGTTTCCAATTTTTTACTTTTTTAAATGATTACTTTTTCCAAACTTTTTGCAAATTTTTCCAGAAAATCCCAATTTTTCTTCAAAATCCATCACTTCTCCTGCGCCTTTGAAACCATTTCCGAATCGATTACACTTAAAATCTTTGCCCTCCATCCCTTCTCATCACCACATTTTTCTGTTTACCCAAAAACAATATTTGTTCCTTTTTTTCAATTTTCCCACCGCCTATGCCATTTTCTTTTTTTCTGTTAAGTACTTTTGCTCCCGTCATAAGCCGATTTGTCTTGTAAATGATACACTACTACATTATTAGGATGTGTTATACCGCTTTTTGTTTGATTTTTTGAAATACACCTTTTTTCAGATTTTTTGGACTTTTATGATTTCTAGGACAAGACCTAAATTTGGATTTTTAAATCATGACCTAGATTTGGATTTTTAGGCCATGACCTAGATTTGGATTTTTAGGCCATGACCTAAATTTGGATTTTTAAATCATGACCTAGATTTGGATTTTTAGGTCATGACCTAGATTTGGATTCTTAGGCCATGACCTAGATTTGCATTTTTACGTCATGAACGAAATTTGGATTTTGAGATCCCTTTTCAAGGTGCTGATTTCAAAAAAATAATAAAAAGAAAACTTTGACTTTATGGCTTCTGTTTTTTCGATTTTTTTTCCACAAAAAAGGTTTTCTAAAAATAGTATGGCTGCCACCAAAACCGAACTCCTAGCCTTTCGCACCAAGGCAAGGCACGCACCCAGTTGCGCCATGAGGGCCAAAAGGGTACAAAAGAGAAGGAGCGTAGATGTTCTACCTCAGATTAAGGCTCAATAGCTGCTGCTTCCAGTTTGGTAGATTAGAATTTTTTTAATTCCGAATTTCCGAGTCCAAAATAAAAAAACCCAATTCTTGCTGAAATTGACCCTGAAAGAAAAATCAAGGATGTATGAGAAGCTCTATATTTTTTTTCTGCCTCCATCTCCTTTTTCTTCTTCCGATGTCTCTTTTTTTCTTATTCTTCACACCCCAACGTCTCCATTCCGCCTCCTTATTTCCTCTCGTTTTTTCTTCAATTTTCCTGCATTTTTTCATGTTTTCAGCAGAGAAGGACGTGTGTTCTTGTATCTTTTTTCTACTCTTTGTGACCTACAAATAGTGTTTTTAATCAAAAAAGGATTACGGTAGTGTATGTAGGTCGCGAGTCACGTCATTTCGGATTTTAAAGCGGCTATAAAGCGGCAAGTAGGAATAAGAATGGGACATGTATTCTATCTATTGAGATTTGAAAATATAAAAATCGAAATTCAATTTTTTTTTCAATTTTCAGAATATTTCTTGAAATTCAAAGTTAATCTGTGAAACATAACTCTAAAAAGAACACATATCTTTCTCATGACCTATAATTTTGATACCTTTTGGAAAGTTCTCGAAAAATCTTTTTGAATTTCAAGGTTTTCGATGAACAAATGGGAATTTTCTAGAATTTTTTTTTCTGAAAATTCGATATTTTGATATTTTTAAATTTCTAAATTGTTGATTTGACCAAAAAATGGAAAAAATTTCTCATTTTTTTACATTTTTGAAATTTCTAAAACTCAAAGCAAAATTTAAATTTTTTTTTTGATTTTTTAAAATTTAGAAATTTAGCTTTTTTTTTTAAATTCTGAAAGGGTTTCAGGAAGTAAGTATTTTTCAATTTTTGGATTTTTTTCAGATTTTCAAAATCTCGGAATTTCGGATTTTCAAACTTGAAATTTTGGATTGGTTCAGGTTTTTTTTATTTATTTATTTTTCAATTTTTCCATTTTTTACGATTTTTCGTAAATTCTGAATTCTCGAATTTGTTTTCAAAAAGTTGAAAATTTCAGAAAAAAAAATGTCAAAAATTTCTTTAAAAGTCATATTTTCGAATCATTTAAACACTAACATTAGAAAAATGTCAGCTGAAAAACTAAAACTTTTAAAAAATTAAAAATTTAATTTTTTTAATCTCTAAATTTTCAAAATCTCATCCCAAAGATCATATATATTTCTCAGAAAATCCCCAACATCTGAAAGCCATTTCACTCGTCTAAAATCCTAAACCACCCATTGAACATGTTCATAAAAATTGCTCATCTTTTCTATTGTTTTTCCCAGTCTGTTCCGTTTTCAATCCCTGCTTTTTTTGCCTCATCTGTTTTCAATTATTCTATTTTCCTCCCCAGTTTTTTCAATATATCAATAGTTCAAAACTTTCAGAGCTTCAACGGGTCTCGATATTCAAATTTTCACATCTTCAGAAGAGCAGAAAATTCAGAAGAAATGTTCAATTCAAGACGCGTTGTTACAGGTAATAACATGCACTTTTTACGCTTCAATTGGTTTTTGAATTTGAGAAATTCTAAGAAAAAAACTTTTTCCTTCGATTAGAGCATTCACCATGAAAATGTGTGTGTTTTGAATACTCCAATCAGTAAAGAGTTTCAGAAAATCCAAAAATTCTAAAATTCTATAATATTTTCTTTTTTTTTGACAAGTTCTTAGAAAGCCAGAATTTTCCAAAAATATATATTTAATTTGCTTTGTCAGTTTTTTCTTAAATTTTCAAAATGCTATAAAAAACCTGAAAATCATTGTATATTTTTGGTAAAAAATTTCAAATTTTTTAAAATTTCGGTCTTCTACCGAAAAAAAACCCCTACATCTTCTGACGCAAAGCAAGACACAATTTATAATCCTGTCTATTTTTTTCAATTTCCGTTCTCAATCTAAATCCAAGTCCATGCCATCCTAAACAATGTGTCATTCATGCCATTTTGGATTTATTTTTTTTCGAAAAAAAAGAGATAAATATCCATATAATATTCTTATCTCTTTCCTCTCTCAGTCTTCTTCCTTCCAAAAAAATATCTTTTTCTCTTTTTCCGCTTCTGACTTCCTCCTAATTCATTTATCATCAACAGCATAATACTTTTTTTTGATGAAAGACTAGCTGAAAATTTTGAAAAAATTTTTAAAGGTTTTTTATAAACTGAAAATCAGAAATAATTTGGCTTTTAATTTCGTTTTATCGATGATTTTCTTGCACCCAGCTGAAATTAATTTTTGAATTTTGCAAAGTGTGCATTTTGACGTAGCGGTGTTTGCGTATCTTGCGCCACACTAGACGCCACACTTCGCCAAAGTAAAAAAAAATAGAAGCGGCTGAAAAAATGATAACAGGAAAAAACATGAACTTTATTACATGAAATTGTTTTTTAAAATATTGAATACTTCAAAATTGAGAAAAAAGTTCCTGGTTTCTCGAAGTTATCAGACCAGATCTCAAATATTTCATTATTTAGCCATTGACCTGGAAACTTTTACGTCATCGAAATGAAATGGTGTTCTGCTTCAAAAAATATAATCCATTGATCTTCAGAAATCTCTATAAATTTTTTGCCAAAGCTCGTCAATTTTGAAAGAGACAGGGAGTGTCATTGTTTCCTAGATACCTCAAAGAAAATAAATGTTTCCCCTATTTTTTCACTTTTTTTTGGCTTCTCACTCCTCTCCCTTTTTTACTTTTTTTTTGAATGAAATTAGATATTTTGATCTTGACGAAAAAAGGACATAATAGGGCTGACAGCATATTGGGCCAGCTGTTCGTTTTTTTCTTTTTTTTGCAAGATTGAAGGTCATACATTTGAATTATCCTAAATAGATGGTTTTTTTGACGTTAGAATTGACCCAATTAGCACTTTAGAGATTTTTTGAGATAACGTTTTTTTTTTAGAAAAATATCTGAAAATCAGTTTTCCAAAAATTCGAAAATTTCAAAATTTTTTCGGAAAACCGAAATTTCTAAATTTGTGAAAATTTTTAAAGAATTTTCGAAATTCAAAATTGTAAATTTTGTGAAATTTCAAAAATTCAAAACTTGGAAACTTCCAAATTTTCAATTTTCCAAAGTTTCTGAGATTCTAAAGTTCCAAAATTTCAATTTGACAAAAATTTCCAAAAATTTCAATTCATTGAAAATTTTAACTTCCTATAAAATTGAACGAATTTCAATTTTACAAAAATTCAAAAGTTCTAAAATTTCAGTTTTACAAAAATTCGAAAGTTGCTAAACTTTGATTTCCTCAAATTCCGAAAATCCAAAAAATTTCAATAATTCGATTTTCCGGAAATTTAAAAAAATTCGAATAAGTCCCATTTCATTCAAAATTTCGTAAAAATCCAAAACATTGCAAATTTCCCAAAAATCGAAAAGTTCAAAAATTCAAAAGTTCCCAGAAAACCAAAATTTTAAGTTTGTAATAATTCCAAAATTTCAACAAATTCAGAAAACCAGTTTTCCGGAAATGCAAAATTTCCATTTTTCCAGAAAACCAGACATTTGTAAAAACAATGATATTTTAGAAAATTTCCACTTCTAGAAAGTTTCTCAGAACACCAAACTCTGGAAATAAAATGGAAAAAATTCAAAAAAAAGGAACTTCCAGAATATTATTCTGTTCTCTCCCCATAATAAATATCTTGATAATCCCCTATTGGCTTGTCATCAAAATCCAAATAAAAAAATAAAACAAGAAGAAATTCGGTTATCACCGCCTCTTCACTTCCTCTCTAGCTCTCTATCTCTACCTAAATATGTTTTGTTTTTTATCACCAAACAAAAATTTTCAAAACGTCACTTTTTACCCTCCTTCTGCAGCAAATTCGCTCTATTCATACTATTATCAATAGAGCGAATTTTGCAACAAAAAAAGAAGACCCTCCTCCCAAAAAAGGTGAGGCTGGTGGCCCTAACTACGTCATCATCAAATCGACGCTAAATTTATAGCCACACTCCGGAGGGAAGACGAAAGAAAAACGGCTCCGCTTTTTTTTTTGCTATTTTCTTATTTTTCTTTTCTTTTTATTTTATTTAGTTTTGAAATTCACTTTTGGAGGAGGTGACTTCTTTGAAATTTTGATTCTAGAATCAGTTCATGTGAACTAATAGTCGGATTTTTTGAAACTGCGAAAAATTCGGAAAAATCTATTTTTGAATTTCCCTCCGAGATGCTAATGTTTGGTTTTGAAGGTTTTTAAAATTTCAAAGTTTTGAAAAAATCCAAAAATTCTTCAAATTCATAAAAATTCTAAGTTCTAAAATTAAAAAAAGTCCAAAATTTCCATAACATTTGGCAAAAAAAATTCAATTTTCTAAAAATTCGAAAAATTCTGAAAATTCATAGAAATCCAAATTTAATTCCGGAAAGTCAAGAATTTCTAGGAATTCTAAAAATTTATGAAAATTCAAAAGTTCATAATTTTCAAAACATCTAAAACTCCAAAAATTCCTAAATTCCTGAAAAGACAAATTTTCATAAATTCTGAAAAATCCAACTTTGAAAAAATCTCGGAAAATCTGAAATAAAAGGAATCACAAAGTTTCCAAAAATATGAAATTCTTAAAAATTCAAAATTTTGACAAAATCCGAAAATCTACTTACCGTAACCACTCTAATAGAACGCCACCCGGACCGTCCTTGTCTGAGTCTGTGTATCTCACTTCTTTTGAATGATATCAAAAAGTTGTCAACTAATAAAATGTTTATTATAATATCAGCAATATTTTATCAGTTGATCACTTTTTGATATCTTTCACAGAAAATGAGATACATGGGCTCAAAGTTGACGAATCGGGTGACGTTCTATTAGAGTGTTTACGGTATTCCCAATAATCAGAAAAAACTCAAAAAGTGTTAAAATCCAAGTTTTTGAAAAATCCAAAAATTTTTAATCGCAAGGCCAAAGCTAGAAAAACATCTTCGATTTCTGGGGAATTTTAAAAACTTTTCTCTTATTTTTCTCGTTTTTTTTTTCACTTGTCTGACTGAAAATCAAAAAATCTGAAATTTTCGCAATTTTCCGAATTTGTTCTTCTCAGAATCCCTGTTATCTCTTTTTTTTTCTCCCGTCTCAATCTTCCAAACTTTTCCAGATCTCTCCAAATTCAATATACGTGTATCTTCTCCCCCCCCCCCCCTACAGTAACCCCTACTACTACCGTACCCACTTATATGTGCCTGCACATCTAACTCTCAAATTTCAAAATGATGCACTCTTCGATCACACGAACCATCTATCACAACAGCAATGTCAATCTAGGACCCTCGTGTATGTGCGCTCTATCGGACAAATCAATGGAGCGCGATTTCAGCGAAGAAGGGTAGAAAGCGCGCTCTACCGGACAAACAAAAAAATCGCGGGTACAGCATAGATAGCGCGCTCTAGTGAACAATCGAAAAATTCAGAATAGAGCGTATTTGCATTTCACCAAATGTCGTATTTTCAGACAATAACTGCAAGCAGCTCGACTACAAACCAGAAGTTGTCGGTGTCACACTAACAAAGTGAGTTTTGGCAAGTTCGCTCCATTGATAATTCTTTAATAGAGCAATTTTTAGAAATTTGGAAACCATTAAAGTTGAAAAATAAAATATTTCCAAAAAACTGTTTTAAAATCCGAAAATTCTGAAATTTTGAAAAATTACAAAAACTTTGAGAAAACCAAAAAATTTTTAAATCAAAATTTGGAAAAAATTCAAAAATCCGAAATTTTTGAAAATTCCAAAACTCAAAATAGTGAAAAACACAAAAAATTCAAAAATCCAAAACAATAAATTTTGAAAAAAAGTCCTAACTTCCTAGATTTAGAAAAATCCTAAATTACTAAAATTGAAAAAAAATTCCAAAAATTCAAAATTTTGAAATATCCGAATAAAATTAAACTTTCTGAACATTCGAAAATTCTTTTTTTTCCAGAATGGAGCTAACCCTCGTCCTAACGCTCTACATCTCCGCCGTCGTCATCCTGGTCGTGGTTTTCGAATTTCTGAAACCATCGATTTCAGCCCATTTGCTGGGCAACTAGCTAAATTTTTTTGTGAAAAACTAATAATTTCTACGGGTGGTCCCGGTAGCTTCTTTTTTGTATAATTTTCCAATTTAAATCCCTTCCCCAGGTGCCTTTTAATAAATCATTGTCGTCATTTTCAAAAGTTTACACTTAAAGAAAAAATTAAAGAAAAACAGATGGAAAAGCAATTATCACAAAAATTGTTATCCAATCGAAGATAATGGAATCAATTATTCTGGCCGTCTTGATTTCCTCGGGGCTCCTCAGCATCTGAATCCAAGTGGATAATTTCACCGGCTTCTTGCTGTCTCTGACGTCGTCTTGCTTCTCGTCTCGCTTCATCCAATTCCTCTCGACGCCCCGCCCATTCAATGGCCACTTCTTCTGGATCCACCGGTGCCCGGGCAAGAAATCGGTGAGAAAGAAATTGGGAAAATTCATTTCCATAACGAGCCAATTGATTGTAGAATGTCTCCTCTCCGTCGAAATATGGAGCAATCGACTGTAGAAGGCCTGCGACAAGGCTTTGGTCGGGACGAATAGGAACATTTGGTACGTAGAGTTTCTTATATGGAGTACGTCCGTTTTTCGGTGGTACTGGGTTGGAGATGGATGCCGTTGGAAGCACTTCGAGCAATTGAGCCAAACGTTCGACGTTCGGGGAGCGGCCACTATAGTATTTGGGGCGTCTGAAAGCAATTTTAGTTTTCAGAATCTAACAATTTCAAAACCTCACCTCTCTGCCCAGTCTTCAAGTTCCAATCTTTCAGAAAGAGATTGTGTCGCGGCAACTGCCTGGGCGGATTGTTCCAAGAAGAGCAACACTGCTGGATCCTTCCAAATCTCTTCTGTCTGCTTCGCGTAGATTTTGACAAGAATTTTGAGACTGTCCGGTTCTCTGAAAACGAAAAATTAAGAAACGAGAGAGAAATCTAGTGGCAATTACCTTTCCGCAGAAGCCGCGGTCAAAAACTTGCAATTCATGACAGCAGAATCAGGATGAATTTGGAGAAGATCCAACAATGCAGCGACGACGGACGGGAATTTTCGGATGGCTTCACAGAGAAGTTTACGAGCTTGGTCCATTTCCTCGTCGGTTTTAGCCAGGAAGAATTTCGCAAGAGCCTTGGAATATTGCCAATTTGGCAGGCTGTCCAGATTTTTGAGGTCCTGGAAACAGAACATGTCAATTTTGGAAACCTTTCTCTCTCAAGACTTACACAAGCCGCCGAATAAAACTGCTCAATCCACGTGTATAGTTTGGCTCTTAAAGCGTATGTATCGATGATAGAGAGCATAGCGAGAGCATCATGACTTGGATCCAGCTTGAAAATCAGCTTTCCGGTATTGAACGCGGTCTCAAAGCATCGTTTGCCAGCTGCGTTGAGCATATGACGATGAAGTAGTAGATAGAATGCGCGGTTCTCAAAATCCAAATAACTCATTCGATGGGTCCAGTTGAATGGGGAGAAGGTGGGATGGGAGTGTTGATCGACGAACCAGATTCCGCGTTCTGAAAATTGTTTGAAGATCTCTCCAAAATCAACATACGTGTATCCGCTTCCCCCTACAGTAACCCCTACTACTACCGTACCCACTTTTATGTGCCTGCACATCTAACTCTCAAATTTCAAAATGATGCACTCATCGATAACACGAACCATCTATCACAACAGCACAACAGACCCTCGTGTATGTGTGCTCTCTCGGATTATCTATAGATCGCGATTTCAGCGATGAAGGGTAGCAAGCGCGCTCTACTGGACAAACGTGAAAATTCGCGGATTCAGCATAGATAGCAAGCTCTAGTGGACACTTGGGAAAATTCAGAATAGAGCGTACTTACTGAATTTCACCAAATTGCGTATTTTCAGACAATAACTGCAAGCAAATTTGGAAACCATTAATTTGAAAAAAAAAATCGAAAATTCCGAAACTTTCATTAAAAAAATCCCAAAAAATCGAACTTTTGCAATTTGAAAAAAATTCCTCTAAGAACGCTTTTTACCTTTTTGGACAATAACTTTTTTCGATTAAAAAGTCTTTCAGTTTTAAGCCACGAAACAAAATTTCAGACCTGGTTATTTGTAAAAAATTATGGCCAAAATTAGGTTTTAGAAATTAGCTCGTAAGAGATCCTGATTGTAAATTTGATTTTTTTTAATTGTTAAAAAACGCAGAACATTTTGGTGCAATAGAAATCTTACCAATAAAATCAGCTCCGGTATTCAAGTCATCGTTCATTCGACTCATATGACCCATCATCAGAAGACAATTCAAATGATATGGACTCGAAGCGAAGATGTCTTGAATTATTTCGACATTATGACCAGCTTCAGCCAGTAAGAACATCCTCTCCCTCTCTCCGTAATCACTGTTGTGTGTAATTTTGAACCAAGTGTTCATGCTGCTGCTCTTGTTTCGATCCGGTTGCACAATTTCCATGGAGAGACCATTGCTTTTGTCCGGCCACCATCTTGGCTTGTTCTTCAGAATTCGCCCGGTTGCTCTTTTCCCCGGTGGCCATTTATTCTCATCGTTTTCATCGATGACAACATCCTTGAACGTCTTCCCAAGCTTTCTTTTCAGTTCTCCGAATATATCAAACATTTTTATTTCGACTTTCAACAGTTCGCTTAGGAGAGGCGGTTCAGCATCCTCTGTCGCAGCCAATTGCTTCTCTTGCATATTCTGAAAATTCTCCTTTTTCAGCCTTTTTCGGTCATTTTCAAACTAAATTTAGTGTTATTTTTATCCTCTCTCAAACCTATTTTCAGGCCTAATTTTTGACTATTTCAAGGTCAATTTAGGCCTTTTTCAAGCAAATTTGGAGCTTGTTCTCAGGCTTTTTCGATTATCCTCGTATTTAGGCTTTTTAAAGGTTTATTTTGAGTCTATGTTTTAAGCCTATTTTTAACATATTCTTAAGTATATGCTAACCCTATTTTAAATATACTTTTAAAATTCCAGGCCGACCGGCCAAAGCCCGGGCCCGTGCCTGAGGAATTTTTCAAGGCCCGGTATTTTTCGCGGCCCGGTACTCTCAATATAATTTTCTCCATTTTTTTCTGTTTTCTTAAAATTCAAAAAAATGTTGATCGAAAAAAATCACATAAGGGCCCACCCCCCTTATGTGTTTTTTGAAATTTTCAAGACTTATGAAATGGCGGGCCCGGCCCGTTACAAATATGATTTTAAGCCTATTTTCAAGACAAATGCAGTCCTATTATAAACCTATTTTCAGACTCTTTTAAGCCCACCACGTTTTCAGTACAAAAACAAGCCGAAAGAAGCATCTTTCAGAAGTCGGTAAATAGGAATTTTCAAAAATTCTGTGACTGCAATGTTTTTTAAATCTAGGTCTTATTGACACCCTTCAAAACTTTCAGAGCGATCTGAAACTTGAGAACCGAGCCGCAGGTTTGTGAAAATGGTCCAAGATCAACTGAAAAATAGGTTTTTAGATTTTTATCACCTACCAAATTAGCGAGCCTCGCCAACATCTCATTTTCCGTCTCCTCGTGCTCCTGCTTCGCCTTCTTTTCCTTCTTCTTATTCTTCTTCTTTTTATTCTTACTGGCTTTTGCGTCAGATGTCGATGGACCATTATTGTCTACTCCATCTGCCTCTTCCGATTTATCACTTGCCACGTCATCTTCCTCATCGAAAAATGCAAATCGATTCGCTGGCCCTTTCCGTTGCACCACTACTGGCTCCACATCTTCGTCTTCTTGATTCACTACCGCCGCTGCTTTCTCCAGTTCCTGTTGTTGATGGAGTCGTTTGATTTGACTCTTCGACATCTGGAATTGAAAATTTGCCTTTAAAAAGGAGAAAATGTAAAATAATAAAGTAAAAATAGGTCAAAACCTCTGAAAAAATAACTAGAAATGTCTGAAAAGAACTTCTTTAAAACCAAGAAAAAACGAAAAAAAAACATCATTGAGCAATAAAAAAGGGACTAGAATCCGTAAAGTTTGTGAATTTTAAAAAAGGCAAATGAAAGACAGGAAAGGACTAAAAGTACAAAAATAACTAGTACAGGATTTAAAAGACTTGAAAATTCATTTTTAAGAATCCGTCAAACTGGTTCTCGTCTTATTATTGGCTAAAATCTTATCAGGCATCCATTCGGGTTGTCGTGCAGTAAGTGCCACGTCATCAGCACTTAACTTCGGCGATTTGAACGATGCGAGTTGGAGGATTCCCAAGCAGCGGGTGGAGTCGGAGGAGATGATCTGGAATTTTGAATTTTCAGATGAATCCACGTGGCTTTTCGGAATTTATTCAGAAATTCAGAATGTTCTGATTTTAAAAGTCAGAATTTCGGAATAATCCGATTTCTAAACTTTCGGAATTTTGAAATATCCAAGTTTTGAAAAATTCATAATTTTGGATTGTTAAGATTTTCTAATTTTCGGAACTTTGGGATATTCAAATTTTGCAAGTTTCCAATTTTTTTAATTCGGAAATCAGAATTTTCGGAATTTCCCAATTTTCAAAATTTCGGATTTTTGGGATTCAAAAATGTTCCGATTTTCCAAAAAATCGCAACCTCGTAATTTCGGAATTTTGGGGTTTAGGAATGTTTCGATTTCCAAAGGAATTCTGATTTTGGGGAAATTCGTAATTTCGAAGTTTGACCATTTTCAAAATTTCACAATTTCAGAATATTCCGATTTTCAAAACTTGAAAAATTCGCAATTTCGGAATTTTCAGATTTTCAAGGTTTCGGAATTTCAGAATATTTCGATTATGAAAAATTCGGAATTTCAGAATTTTCAAATTTTCAAAAATATTCCGATTTTCCATTTTTTTTTGAATTCTTTTTTTCGTTTTTACGGTTTTCAGTCATTTTCAGTCAATTTTCCTTCTATTTTGCCTATTTTAAAACCAATTTTCAGTCGATTTTCAGTCATTTTTTAGTCAATTCCGACGATTTTTAGCCATTTTTCAATATTTCGGTCGAAATATTCAGAATTCTCGGAATTCCAAATTCCAAATACATCCCTGTGCTCTCACCAACCTTCCCAACTTTATTCTTCTTCTCATCCAAAATATCGGCTCCGATTTTCACTTGTCCCTCACACTCGAATGGTAGAATGCGCCGACGAATGACACCTGTATGGGCGGTTCTTGCTGTCAATTCTTGTCCAATATAGCATCCCTTATCAAGTGAAACCATGTTGAGAAGGTCGCCGTTTGCCTGGAACATAGGAATTTGCCACGTGGCTTATAAAAGGTCTCACCTGGAAAGGTAACAAATCCGCTAGTTCAACAGCACCTTCTGCAATTCCATTCGAGCGACGCAGGTTTTCATAGGCTTCACGATTTTCGCTAACCTCTGAAGACGATGGATTTCCGAATACACGAGCTCCAAAGTTTGAGAATCGGGGATCACGGTATTCAGAAGACTTATCTGTCGAGATTTGCTCGAAAAAGACTTGATCCGTAGTTTCAGAAATCTCCACGCGTTTTCTTAATCGATACTTTAGGATTTCCTTCACAAGAACACTCTGATTCGCTTTAGAACACTCCAAGAAGACGTCATCGGTGCCACGTCGCCAAAGAAGAACATCCTCGACGATGCGGCCTTTGGTGTTGAGAAGAAACGCGGCGAGACCGTTTTGAGATTGCAGTTTTCTGGAAAACTCGGGCAATTTTTCAGATTTGAAGTATTTTTTTCAGTTTCTTCACAACTAGCACTCACGTTACGTCATTGGTGATCAAGCCCTGAAGGAAGGCGTTCGTATCGGCACCGTGTAGCTTTAAAATCACTCTATGCGGCAATTTTATCAGCCGCTGTGATGACATATATTCTAGAAAAAACGGGATATCAATTGAGTAATCTTTCGCAAGCAAGCCACTGACACCGTGGCCGTGGCTGGCGAAATTCGCTCTTCCACCGGCGGAAATTTACGGGGGAATTCGAATTTCAGCTATTTAAAAACACTATAAAAGTCCAAACGTATGGATTAAAGAGATGCAAAGCATAAGCAACAAAAAATTTTATTCATTTTTATTTAGATACTAAACCTAGAAATTTCTAGAACAAAAAACAAACAACAAAACAAATAATTTTAAGACTATTTGTGTGATGCAGCACTCTTCAGAATTCGACGACGCGTCAAACCGGCGGCGTGTCTTTCCTTCTCGAACTTTTGCATTTGCTCCTGCACAAAAACCTCTTGCTCCTTGGTTGACCCAGTTCTGTAGTTGGCAATCAGATCGTACTTTTCGTAATCGTTGACCAGTGTCTTATGCAGCTTTCTCTTAAACCACGGCGTCGCTTGTGTCCATGTGTCTTCGATTCCACGATAGCTCAGGATTTCCCAACGACGAGTCCATGGCGGATTCTTCAGTTTTACTTTTACCTCGTTAACAGGAATAGGTGTCCCAGCTGGATGAGCCTGAGGTTCCATATGGAAGTCGAATGTGGAATATTCTGGAAGCGCATCCACCAGATACGTCAGATCACTATCCAAACGTTTCTCTAGTTTCAGAGTTTCAATTTTTTTAATCGTTGGATTGTACATATCGTACATAACTTCAACACCAATATTCTCAATAGTGTTTCTTAGCGTAAACTGATGAAGGAGTCCTTCTTTCTCTCTACGAATACAAATTCCCACGAAACGATGTTCTTTAGAACCCAAATTTCTGTCTGATGAGGTCACGGCAACAATGGAACCTGAAGAATAGCATACATGAGCGAAAAACGAAGGGAGATAATAACTAACCAACATAAAACTCTGGAATGTCAATATTCATTCGCCTTTCCAGCATATCCTGTCTCTCTAGCTCCTCTTTCAACGCATTTCGACGATTCCATACTGGTGACTGCAGAAAATCTGGGTAGATTTCTCTGGAATAACGTAGAAAATTTATTTCTGAAGGAATTTTCGAAATTCCTTACGGAAAAGCTGGAATCAGTCCAGCGAGTTCTTTTCGAGTCGATTTCTTTGCTGGTGCCGCTCTTGTTGGTTCCGATTTGCACGAGAAAAACCGAGTGGGAATTTTGACGACTTCTCTGGCCGCCGGACGGAACATTTCTGAAGAAAATTGATTAATAAGGAACATTTTCATTATTTGTTTGATGTGAGAAAACATTTTTTTTAATTAATTAGCTGCTAAACTTAATAAAAACAAATAGAAAATAGAGCAGAAGAAGAATTCTAGGTAGTGTGCAATCTGACGTGGTGGTGTTTGCAGAATTGTTTACCGTAGCTATCAGTAAATTCGTTTGTCGAGAAAATTTCAGAGGAAAAGAGAAGACTTTGTGAGAACTGAGACTTCGCTGAAAATATTTTTTACCGGAAATATTAATTTACGAAATCGCAAATATGGTTTTTGGTCAATTCCGATTATTCGCCCAATAAAGCAACTTCTTTCAAATATAAAAACAAAACATGAGAAAAATTACTTTATTTGGCTTCAACCCGAGCTATCAATTTTTCTGAGCAAATGCCGTATGGGGTAACAATTTAGGTATATACACGTACACCGACCCGCGTGTGCACTTGGGGGGGGGGGGGTAATGAAATTGGGTAATCAGTTATTTAAAACATTTCATTTAACAAATTTTAGTCATCTTCCGCAAGAATGAGCTCATCCTCCTCGCCGGCTCTCTCCTCTCGCTCGATCGCAGCCATCATTGCTCTTTCGAATTGTGGTCTGAAAAATTCATGAAAATTTAAACTTTAGTTTAAAAAAGACATACGGTTCTGGTGCCAGTGGCCACATGTCCCTCGCCGCGATTCGAACCGGATCAGCCGGATTCACCATAGAATAATCTCCTCTGATAAAGAAAAATTCGTCCCAATCGAAAACGATCGCGCCGCCAGCTGCATCGTCTTCTTCCTCTTCAACTGGTGCTTGATTGGCAGTTCCTTTTCCACCAAAGTCTTCTTCTTTCATGTACGTATAGCACAACGGGCACACCATTTTCACAGCTAGCCATTTTCGGAGACATGGTCCGTGGAAATAGTGTTTGCATGGGGTTATTCTCGCTTCCTCTTTCATTTCGATAAAGCAAATCGCGCAAACGTCTTCTCTTTCTGCAAAAATACAGAATTTGAGATTTTCCTTGAAAAATTCCAATCTCACCTTTCAATTGTACTGCATTTGCTTTCGACAGTCTATTGATATTCTTGACTGCCGCATTTCGACTCTTGATGTACTGGAATGTCTGTCCCGCCCGTTTGTAGATGTTCACTATGACGTGGAACAGGAGAATCGCAAATGTGGCAAGACTGAATCCAACTGCAACCAGCTGATAGCATCCGAAGCCTAAGACTACGTTGGCTGCGATCAATTCGATTCCTTTATTGGAGCAATCGATGTAGTAGATCATATCATCGATTCCTTCCCACGGCTCTTCGGATTTTGTCTGTAAAACTTGACTTCAATGCGCTCTGCTGAATTTCAATGCTCACCTCCACAATAAGCACAATATATTTCAGAACCACTCCGATAGCTCTTGCGGCTACTGTAGCGCTGTTAGCTATAATGATAGCTGTATAAATATCGATTGGGAGGAATGCCAGCATGGTTCTAGTAGTGAAGAAAGGAAGAACCACTAGGAGCAATGCAATTGCAATACATCTAGCATGTCTGGATTTTGTGGCTTGTGGAGAAGAGGGGAGATTCAGAAGGACCAATTCAATAATTTCAAAGAGAGACTGAAGAAGTGCAGAGATCACAATATAGAGAACTAGAGCTAGTAGAATGGTTTTTTGTTCCACTTGCATGCCAAGAAATCCCGTTTGGATACACAAAATAACAACGGAGACAGCTTCAGTGTATCTGGAATCCGAATTTGCAGAACAATAAAAATTGAAGCTATTTTGATTACCCAGAATGCGCAAGAACGTGTCCATGACTTCTAGCTCCTCCGGTTACCAATTTCGTAAGATCCGCAATCCATTTACAGACATAAGAGACTGATACAGCTAAAGCGGCTAGGGTGATTGGTGTGTTTGTCGTTTCAGCAACTCCGGTTAACAAGATTCGACCGACTTCCGACCAGGTGCGACCCTGAAATTTTATATCTAGAAGTTCTGCAGAACTGGCCAATTTTAGATCCGTAAAACTTTTTGACAACCTTTCTGTAGAGCTGCACTTCATCTAGCATCCGTAAACACTATTTAAATGGCTCAACATGTCAACTTTGAGACAATATCTGATTTCCTGTGGAAGATCTCAAAAAGGGGCCAACATACAAAATGTTTATTATAATATCAAAATTATTTTTCTTGTTGATCACTTTTTGATAACATTTACAAGAACCGAGATAATGGAGATCAAAGTGGACGTATAGGGTTGGCGTCTATTGGAGAAAATACGGTATGCTTGCTCAGGTGGAGCTCTATCTTCTTAGAGTGCATTTGCCCAAAAACGTTTTCAACTAACAAAATGTTTGGGATATCATAATGAGCGTTTCGTCAGTTGAGCACTTTTTGATATCTTTTGCAAGAACCGAGATGAATTGGGTCAAAGTAAATACCGTATTTGTCCTAATTGAATGTCCCCGAAACTGTTCACTTTGAGCTCAATTATCTCGGCTCGTATGAGAGATATCAAAAATATGTCAACTGATAAATTGTTTATCACAATATCACCAATATTTTATTAGTTGAAAATTTTTTGATATCTCTCATAGAAACCGAGATAATTGAGCTCAAAATTGATGGTTTGGGTGGTCTTCTATAAGTGCACTAGGGTGGCGTCTTGGAGGACCCTATATCTCATTAGGGCACATTTGTACAAAAAAGTTGTCAACTAACAAAATGAATATCTATTTCTGTTTTGTAAATTCTGAAAATTTTCAAAATGTTTGAATTAATTTGAACTTTAATTCTTGAATTCTTTTGAATAGTTCCGAAATTCTGTTATTTTGGAAAATGTCAATTCCATAAACTAATATTTCATGTTACTTCTTATTTTAGAGCTCTTGGCAAGCCTCTGACAATTCTGAAATTGAAAATTGGGAAAATAAATTTTTTAATTTCGTATTTTTTTCCAGTTTTTTTTAATGAAACTCAACATTTGTCTATAAAATTAAGCAGAACACTTTAAGAACCAAATTCGACTATTTTCTGTTGATTTTGAAAATTTCGGGTTACTGTAGCTGGAATTCTACAAAAAATATATGCTACCTTATCAATCAGCTCAACATAAAGAACCATCAGGAACATTGTGATCCACGTAAAAGTGAGCAATTCTAGGATTCTCAGTCTTCTCCATAAAACTGAAACACCATCCGCCAGCCCATGAACCATAAAAACTGCCTTAATCTGTCTTAATGCAGTTTTGGCCGATTTTATAAGAGATGGTCCTCGGTAGAGAATATAAGTGGCGATGAAGACCATGGTTCCGGTGCAAGCGTAGTTGTGAGCTGGAAATTGTGTAGTTTGTAGGTTTTGTAATTTGTATTTTGTATTTTGTAGCTTTTTGTAGTTTGTTGTAGGTTGTAAGTATAATTTATTTAGTCTTTTGGTTTTAGGTTTTAAGTTGTAGTTTGTAGTTTTTGTAGTTTCTAGTCTACTCTTACCATTCTTCAGTTTGTCTTTTGGACATCCTCCCATTCTTGCGACAATTGGTAGGGCGAACACAGGTAAGGCAAACTTCCATGGCTCACCGTCAATTTCTAGAAGCATCGATTGAAGGACAACAAGAAGCATCTGGAAAATTTTGGTTTTTGTTTTGTTCTGTGCGTCCAGTTGTCCATTGACGGACTTTTGGCGGGCCTCCGGATGTTATAGAACTCGACGAGTGCTACAAAATGATACTACTTGGGAAACTGTATAGTGTATATGAACAAAGTTGCAAGCCTTAAAGTGGCCGAGATCCATCGTGCCGTGTCGGGACAGACTTGTTTTTTTTGGATTGCAACTTTGTTCATAGGCAAGATACAGTTTTCTAAATTTTATCATTTTGTAGTACTCCTCGAGTTCTATAATATCCAGTTTAGTTGGTCCAAAAATATTGATTCTAAAAGAAACTATGGAACCGCAAAGTTCCGGTTTCTTGCATTTTTCTTACCTGCGCCAAAAAATGAAATCCATGCCTCTCCAACTTGATCAATCCATCCAATTTCAGCTCTTCCTCATTGCTCTTCAACTCCAAATCCACATAAATCGCGGATAGTTTATAAGCTACGCCGAAGAGGAAAATCGACAAAAAGTGCGAATACATTCGGATCAGACGGCTTAGTGGCAGTGTCAAAAACATCAGACTTATGAAGATTACTGTAATAAATACATAAATAAAATATTTTTAAATCGTTTTCACTGACCAAAATAGCTCAAAATGATGGCTGCATGATGGTCGAAATTTCTCCGGTGTACAAAATCCAACATAGTGGGAATATCAAAGTAGGACAATGGCATTTGTTTGATGACTCCATCCTGGATATCTTCAAATGAAACTCCTTGATATCTCCAGAGCAATTCAATGAATAAAAGTCCGGGAAGACGAAGACCCGTCTCCAAAACCATTATGGAAATTTCTTTGAGCTTCTGGAAGTAAGAAAATTCGCTCTATTGAAAATTTTTTATTACCTTAACACCATTATCCATTTGTTGGACACCAAGTCTCACTGATTCCTCGGTTCTTTCGGTTATACTCATCTGACGTCTTCTGATATTTTGAACCATTCCGTTCACATTTTCTATAACTCCCTCCATTTTTATTTGATTTTTTTCAGCCGATTTTCATTGGATTTTTTTATTCTGGAAGAAAAGTTCAGTTTAAATAATTTACCAAAATGATGAAAAAACGAATAGATGAGCACAGAGAACCGGGTCAACAATACTAAGAAGAGAGATGTGAGAGAGAAGAGAGAAGGACGTCTTGTTATATCTGGTGTCTCTTCAATAGACACACTGTCTCGTCTCCCATTCGACTAGCAAAACAACCTCCATCAAACAGGCTTATGAAGGGGGAGAAGGGGGAGAAGAACAGTTCAGAAAGTGATCATCGAGTGGTGATCGACTGGGACATGAATTCTAGCGTTTGATAGAAACCAAAAATGTTTCGACCACGGCAGGATTCGAACCTACAATCTTCTGCTCCGTAGGCAGACGCGTTATCCATTGCGCCACGCGGCCATGTTGCGCAAATGTGTAAGAGGGCAAATAAGAATGTGTGATGTCAGGCGGGAAGAAGGGGAATCATGTGGGACGAGTAGGAAAAAGAAGATATTGAGGTAGAGGCTCCAAACTGACAATTTTTGAAAAAAAAAACATAAGAAAATTAGAAAAAAAAACATCAGATCGGTTTTTATGGTGGTGGAACCACTGGGGTTATAACCTTATCAAGTGCTTAGCTACAATCTATTCGAAAAACCGACCAATCTGTCTGATTGACACAATTGATAAGAATGGAAAACGCGGGAAAAAAAAATGAAAAAAAGTTCTTTGGGTACCGAGGACTTTGTACCGGAGTGGCTATAAAATATAGGATAAAAGAGACTATGGAACTGAAAAAATTCTTTTTAAAAAAATTTGATTTTCTGGAGGCAAGACGATTTGGCGGGGGATAATTACTTTTTTTTGGAAAAAAAAATCGTTTATTTGTTTGTTCTCTCTGAAAATTCAAACTTTATCATGATAAAATGCAATCTATGATCATCTCAAAGTGTGATCATTAACTTGTTTACATTGTTCAACGAAATTGATTTATTCTGATTAGGGTTGGCAACGGGGCTCCCCGCTTCATTCGGGAGCCCCCGAAAGCGGGGCGGGGATTCGTCATTGTTGAAAAATTTTTTTGTTGTATGAAACAGTAACTTCCTTTTCGAATTGTTTTTTGCAATTCAAGGTACTCAACTAGTTTACTCTGAAAGTTACAAGCGCCCGGGGCGCGGGGGGGGGGGGGGGGGATCGCCCCATTTCGCCCCATAGCCAACCTTAATCCTGATTCTTTTCGAAATATGTATTCAGACGAAAATTCAGAGATGACAGCTTCAAAAAAGTTTCGGTTCTTTGTAAATAACATGAACGAAAAAAGTTTCGACCACGGCAGGATTCGAACCTACAATCTTCTGCTCCGTAGGCAGACGCGTTATCCATTGCGCCACGCGGCCACATTTCGAAGGGAGTGGTGAAGGTGGATAAAAATGTGCGGTCGAATACAAAGACGTAAGAGGAGAGATAGGTTTATTGAAATTTAACAAATTTACAAAAAAAAGAACTTCGTGATGTTTGTAAAGTTTTAAGCCATTTGTTCCTCATCATCATCCGAATCGAAAGCAAAGAAATTCTTCATCTCTTCCACACTACTTCCTCTAATCAATGTTGCCATATGAGCACATCCAGCTCTCCTAAGACGATCGATATCCAGAAACTTGGAAGCTTTTAGAATCTGATTAATCTCGATTAAGTCAATTGTAGAGAAAAATTTAATGTCGAATTCTTGAAGAAAACATGTTCCAAGATGTCCTTGCTCGTCTCGAACTTCTTCTTCGAATTCAAGATTTTTATAAAAATCCAACCATTTTATAATATTTTTCAGAGTTGTTGAAGAAATGGATTCCAGGGGAATTTCTTCCGGAATACCTCCATTATTCTCTAGGCAATCTTTGATTGTTTGAGAGAGTTTGAAGGGATTTTCATAGGATTCGATGATTTTGCCATCTGATGTTTTGAAGCGTAATTTGCGTTCTCCGGATAATTCCATCTACAAATTTCTATTTATATTTTAGGAATTCAGGATACAAAAAAACAATCGAAATATAAGTTTTTTCACTGAAGCTACTAAATAAGCTTTTGAAAGTTCTAGATTGAAGACAATTTCGTATATTGAAAGTTGAACCGAGTTTCGAGACACACCCCTCTCATTAGGTATCCATGACAATGATTGTGTTTTTTTGTGATAGACATTACCCTAGAGAACATATGTCTGAAACTTAAAAAAGCGCATTATTTCAAAAAACACAATTAATAAGATAGAAAATACCGTAAACACTCTAATAGAAGGCCACCCCATACTTGCACTTTCATCATAATATCACAAATACTTTATCAGTTGACAGATTTTCGATATCTCTTATAAAAATGGAGATAAGTGAGCTTAAATTGCACATATGTAGTGACCTTCTATTAGAGGGTTTAGGGAAAGTTGAAGAGACTAGCATAATCTGGAAAAAATTTTCCAAAATTTTGAAAACATCTGAGGAAACCAAACAATCCAAAAATTCAAAATTCTCTGAAAAATCCGAAAATTCCAAAAATCTAAAAAAATTTGAAAAGGCCGAATTTTAAATAATCCCAAAATTTCAAAATGTTTGAAAATCTGGAAATTTGAAAGAATCCACAATTTCCAAAATAATTCAAGACTGTAAAAATTCGAAAATTATTCAAAACTTGAAAAAATTCGAAATTTCGTAAAATCCTAAATTCGAAAAATCTAAAATCCCTGAATTCCGAAATAACTCAAATTCTAAAAATCCAAAAATTCAACATTTTGAAAAATTATAAAAATCAATAATTTAAAAAAAAATCCGAAATATCTGAAAATCCTTAAAGTCCAAAGTAATTCAAATTTCTAAATGTTCTGAATTTCAATTTTCTCGGAAAAACCAAAAATTCAAGAATTTTGAAACTTCTGAAAATTCCTGAATCAAGAAATTTTAATTTCTAAAAATTCAAAAACTGTCGATTTCTGGGAAATTCTAGAAAGTTAGAAAAAATATTTTCAAAAAGTTTATTGGCTGAAAAATAATTAAAATACATTTTTATTCAATTCGTGCAGATATTGATCACTCATTGCTTTCTTGTTCCTCCTCATTCGCTCTTTCTTCGTCCTCGGAATCTGTAGGAATCCCAAACATATTTCGAAGCTCCTCTGTTGATTTTCCCTCAGCCATATGGGCAATATACGTTGCTGTAGCTACGGTTAGCAGTCTGATATCCATGGAATGGGCGGCGCAAGTCATTTTAAATAACTCTGGATTTCCAGCGGATTGAAAAAATTCCTTATCGAAGTCAGTGAGCTCTCGTGGTATCCCCACTTCAACTGGAGCATCTTTGTAGTGTTCCAGAAAATGGATAATATGTTTTAGAGTTGTTCCAGTGACACCATCCAATCTAATGACTTCTGGAGCCACTCCTCGATTTTTAATGATTGCATTCTGGACTACGGTCGATTTGAGGAAAATCATCTTTGATGCGTCAACGATTTGACCATCAGAAGTTTGGAAACTGAGCATTTTGGGATGTCTGAAATTCTAGGACATTGAAAAAGATGTAAGGAGAAAGAAAAGAAAAACGGAACGAATGTTGAAGTGCTTGCTCTCTTCTTCTCATAGTTTCCATGGAAACATGCACGCTTGATTAGGATCATGTGAGTTATGCACTTGACGAGATTCAGAGATTTCTAGGCCACGACCTCGAAACATTATTGACTTTTCATAAATGAAAATAGACCTATGAATGGCCCCCAAAAAATATTAAAAACATACTTGCAACGGGCCGGGCCGGGCCGGGCTTTTTTCAGAATTTTCAGGGCCCGGCCCGTCTCTGCCCGGGTTTTCAAGAAAACATTTACTGTCTTTTCAAAAAAATTGTTGGGGTCAATAGGAAAAATGGATTTTCTTTCAAGTAAAAAACTTTTCAATAATAGAGTAAAGAAACCAGAAGAAACGTCAAATGAATCCTGAGGAAATCATTCAAAATCTAGGATCTACTCAAGGAGGGAAGGAAGATTCTAAAAGATTTTCAGAGAATTCAAAAGACAATTCCCAATCTTCAATACACTTTCGAACACAGCTTAAACCCTTGACTGACTGAATTATCAGTCAGCCATAGCCGTCGGGGCTCGAAAGTGTAAAGGAAACCAAGAGAAATGTCAAATGAATTCTAAGAAAATCATTCAAAATCTAGGATCTACTCAAGGAGAGAAGGAAGATTCTAAAAGATTTTCAGAGAATTCAAGACAATTCCCAATCTTCAATACACTTTCGAACACAGCTTAAACCCTTGACTGACTGAATTATCAGTCAGCCATAGCCGTCGGGGCTCGAAAGTGTAAAGGAAACCAAGAGAAATGTCAAATGAATTCTAAGAAAATCATTCAAAATCTAGGATCTACTCAAGGAGAGAAGGAAGATTCTAAAAGATTTTCAGAGAATTCAAGACAATTCCCAATCTTCAATACACTTTCGAACACAGCTTAAACCCTTGACTGACTGAATTATCAGTCAGCCATAGCCGTCGGGGCTCGAATGTGTAAAGGAAACCGTAACAAAGTGTAACATT